AACAATTTTGAAAACCTGGATATTGAGGAGAAAAAGAAATTCCATAACGTCAAAGACAATGTCGTTCATCTTTTCAAAATTGCTGCTGATGGATTCAAGCAGAGAAAGTTCAAACAGGCCATCAGGGAGTACGTTTTTTACTGCTTTTTTTTGAGAATTTTTTAGTTCTTACGCATCATCTGTCAAATTTTCAGTTACAAAAAGATTCTTAACTCTCTCGACGAGGCAGAGCTGGAAGACAGTGAAGATGAGGGGGAACAGAAAAAATTATTGACGAGAGCTGCTCAAAATTTGGCAATCTGTTACAACAGGGAGAGCATGCCACGTCATGCCTGTATCGCTTGCAATGAAGCACCCTATAAGACTGCAAAAATTCACTTTCAGTCAGTATCTTTATAATCTCAATGATCAATCAATTAATTTTTATTGCATTATTAATATTCATTCGCAGTTATGGAAGAGCTTTGATAAGGATGGGAGAGTACGGCCAAGCTCTCACCCAACTGGAGAAATGTTTGGCACTCGAGCCTGAAAATGTTTTTGCAATAAAAGAAATGGAGCTGGTGAGAAAATTCAAAAGAATTATCTTAATGTTAACGGAATTATATGAAAGGTTATTGATAATAAGGGAAGAGGGATTGATAATAATTAATAATTTCAGGCCAATCAGTTTGAAGAGAAATATAAAAATATCGAGAAGAGTATGTGGTCGAAATGTTTGGGATTGGCCAAGGGGAAACCCCGCGGGGAGGAGGAGTACGAGCAACTGGCAACTTCTCTCGTTCAGACTTTTCTCGATGATGGGCATATCATGCGTCAGCCATTGCCAGAGGGTCTGGTGCCACAGGCAGAAAAAGCTATTCGCCGACAGGCTGCTATTAAAGGCGTAAAAGTCACTTCCCACACTCGATATGGGAAAGAAATTGTGTATCTCTCAAAATCCAATTATGTTTAGTTTTGTAAACAGAACTTCGTATCACGAAACTTTATATCAGAGTTATCCTCATTCCTACGCAGAAAGAAATCACGATGAGGAATGAATATTCGTTTATTCAATATTTTCCAGCATTTTTATAGAGATATTTCCTATTTTTCAATTTATTTCTAAGACTCATGGTTTACAATTGTAGAATCAATTGCAGCAATAAAAAATAAACTCCAAGAATTCGCAATATTCGAAATGTTTATCTTTTTTTAATCACATTTTCTCGTACGGCAAAGTTTCGTAATGAGACGACATAAATGGGGGAAACACCGGGAGAGATTTCCCATGCGCATTACTACGCGCACGTCACTTTATACAAAGAATCGATCGTCACGCCCTCGGTATCATTTCGAAGAGGTTAAGGATTATTTTTTCCAAGAGCGAAGGTGAACAGAAAAGCAAGACAGGTTTTATTAATTTTTTTATGTTAAAACCTCAACTGATCGTTGATTGAACGAAATAATCCTTTATTTATTCCGACACTTGATCACTTGATCAATTCATTCGTGAGTTATCATTTATTTCAAAGGATATCTAACGTATTCATTTTCTCCACCCAATCACCTAATCACTGAGACAGTAAAATATTATTGCAAAATATTCTTTAACATGAGGAAATTAATTAAATGTGCCATACACTTATAAATTTATATTTATTTACATTTATTTATTCATATTTATACATTTATTCTTATGCATTAAAATATATTTTTAAGGTTT